TGTGTGTGTGTGTGTGTGTGTGTGTGTGTGTGTGTGTGTTGACCTAAAGGTGGATCTAATGCAACAGAGAGAGAAAAAGAGAGAAAAGAGAGTCTGTGGACACATCCAGAGACTTTATAAAAGGAATAAGACATTTCGGTCATTTCCATAGATCATGTGCTAGCATACCGTGCTAAAGTGAGTGATTATAGCCACATTCTGACTGTCTGCAGGTCTGACCGGAGCCCCCCCAGCAGAGCGGCTGCACATGGTACGGACTCTCTGTTTCCGCTTCTGGAACCTTCTGGTCCTTCTGGACCTGAAGCGCTCCTCACCTAACCAATCCCAGAGTTAGGACAGCCCAAAACAAACCAAAAAAGCTTTGCATGCGTTCGGCTGGGTCAAAGGAGACGTTTCAGGATCAGATCAGTGACATGGGCTCAGACTCTAACTGGATCCGGTGGGATCCAGAACCCCGTTCGGACCCCGTTAGTTTTAAAAGCCTCCAGTTTCTCTGCATGAAGGGCCTCAAAGGGGTTTCAGGATGTCCCTGAAAAGGGTTTAAAGGGGGTCCAGCGTAGCCCGGCAGCCTTTCTGAGAGAATTCCATGTGACCCCTGCTTTCAGGCTCCAGATCCAGAACCCGGGGACCTGATCGAGGTCTACAGAGGAGCCTATAACCACTGGGCGGTCTACATTGGAGACGGCGACGTGGTCCACCTGGTGGTGCCCGGTGAGTCCGCCTTAAACCCCGTCCAATCAGAGGCCGGCAGGTCTTTAGCTGCATTTCGGCCGGAGGTCCACTCGCTGTCCACCACGTCCGGCTTCAGTTCCATCGACCTCAGCCTGACCAGTTTATCCTGCAGCACATTTTTACTCGAGTTTAAAAGCAGAAAACCGACAAAAGGAATCAGAACACCAAAGAATCAGGGCCAGAAACTGACCAGAAAGGGGCAGGAAACTGACCAGAAAGGGGCCACAAAGGGGTCCAGAAACTGACCAGAAAGGGGGCCAGAAAGTGGCCAGTAACTGACCAGTAAGGGACCAGAAACGGGCCAGAAGCTGACCAGAAACGGGCAAGAAAGGGACCAGAAACTGACCAGAAAAGGACAGGAAACTGACCAGAAAGGGGGCCAGAAGGGGATCCAGAAAGGGGTTCAGAAAGTATCTAGAAACTGACCAGAAACTGGGCCAGAAAGGGGCCAGAAACTGACCAGAAAAGGGCAGGAAACTGACCAGAAAGGGGCCAGAAACTGACCAGAAAGGGATCCAGAAAGGGGCCACAAAGGGGTCCAGCAGGGGGCAGAAACTGACCAGAAAGGGAGCCAGAAAGGGGCCAGAAACTTACCAGAAAGTGGGCCAGAAAGGGACCAGAATCCCCCCAATAGAGGATAAAACTAAAATGGAGGCTCTCCTGGTTCAGGTCTGGTTCTGGGCCCAAACAAGAGACCAGAACCTGGTTCTCAGAGTCAAGCTGGTCCAGAGATGGACTTCAGACCATGAAGAGACCTAAGAACCGGACTGATGTTGTCCTTGTTCTGAAATGGACTGATGTGGTCCTGGTTCCTGGTTCTGCAGAAACCTTAGTACTGGACTGAGATGTGGTCCAGCCTAAACCCTTTGGTCTGACTCCTTGTGGTCTCCTTCCTCCCAGATGGGGGCGGCGGCGGGTCCAGCGGGTCCAGCGGGTCCAGCGGGTCTCTGCTGGGCTTCCTGCCTGGGCTTGGGGGGACCAAGGGCCTGGTGAGGAGGGAGAGCCTGCGGGACGTGGCGGGAACAGACCCCTGGCTGGTGAATAACGCCATGGACCGGGACGAGGAGCCCTACCCCCCCAAACAGATTGTGAAGCGGGCCCTTAAGCGGGTGGGGGACCGGGTCCGGTACCACCTGGTCAAGTTCAACTGTGAGCACTTTGCCAAGGAGCTGCGCTACGGGGTGGCCGAGTCCAGCCAGGTGGGTCCCAGCAGACCGGGGCTCCGCTTCTGGGTCAGGGTCCAGATCAGGGTCCAGATCACCTTCAGGAAACCAGAGGGCCGCTCTGGTTCTGGATCAGGGTCCAGATCAGCTCCAGTCTGATCCAGGCCTTCGTCTGAGCTGCCTTCAGGGTCCTGCAGGAAACCAGAGGGCCGCTCTGGTTCTGGATCAGGGTTCAGATCAGGGTCCCGCCGGGTCCAGGCCTTCAGGAACCAGAGGGGCCTTCAGGAAACCAGAAGGCTGCTTTAGTTCTGGAATCAAGGTCCAGATCAGGGTCCCAACTGGTCCAGACCTACAAGAACTAGAGGGGCCTGCAGGAAACCAGAGGTCTGCTCTGGTTCTGGATCAGGGTCCAGCCTGGTCCAGACCTTCAGGAACCAGAGGGCCGCTCTGGTTCTAGATCAGGGTTCAGATCAGGGTCCAGCCTGGTCCAGACCTTCAGGAACCAGAGGGTCCTTCAGGAAACCAGAGGGCAGTCTAGTTCTGGATCAGGGTCCCGCCTGGTCCAGACCTTCAGGAACCAGAGGTCTGCTCTGGGCTCAGTCTCTGTCCCATGAGGATTAGTATTTGGTTTATTTGGACCCGAGAAGCATCTTTGTCTCGTTCAGAGCAGAAAATCAAACCCTCAGAGCTCAGAAACGGGCTCCAGACTCTTCAGCTGTGGGGCTGGCGCCCCCTGCTGGTCTGGAGAGGAAACAGCTTTAAACCCGCTTCACCAGATAGTCTGACCTTTAATCAGCTGCAGATTTTAGAGTTTAGCAGCTTAAACTGATGCTTATAAGTAACAGTTCTAAATGATTGTACATTCAAACAAGATCTGGACACATTTCTGCCCTGAACTGAAAACGGTTTCCAGTTCCGGTAAAGGTTTTCATTTCCCAGTTAAAGCTGAAACGTTCAAAGGGCATTTTCAGCTCCCAATTTGGTGAAAAATGAACTTTAACGTGGTCGTTTTTTCAAGGTGGACCAGTTTTCTGGTCTCTGCAGAACCAGGAAACAGGACCACATCAGTCCAGTTCTGAACCAGGAAACAGGACCTCATCAGTCCAGTTATCTGGTCTCTGCAGGACCTGAGAACAGAACCACATCAGTCCAGATCTCTGGTCTCTGCAGGACCAGGAAACAGGAGCTCATCAGTCCAGTACAAAACCAGTTTTAGTGCCCACATGAAGTGGTCCCTGCAGGTCTAAGGGCCCCCCTGAGGGGCCTTAAGGTGGACCAGAGCCTCACTCTGCGGTTTGTCCCTGCAGGTGAAGGAGGTGGAGAAGGGAAACGTGCTCAACGCGCTGGCAGAAGTCCAGGCCAGAGCCCTGACGCGGCCCTTTATGCGGATTTTCAGGAACTAACTGCAGCTCCAGGCCCCCGAAGGCCTCGCGGGCCCCCGAAGGCCTCGCGGGCCCCCGGAGGCCTCCTTCATGAGGCATTCAAATGCTCAGTTGGTCTTTTCTGGCTCCTTAAACTGATGATTTATTTTAATTTTCACAGCAGCTGTTGAATAAATCTTTAAGATTCCTGACTCTCAGAACTGAGGAATAATTTTAGTTGCAGTTCAGTTTGTGTCCGATCGGCTGTTTTTGGATATTCTTTAGTTTTTAAAGGTGTTTTAGTCCAAAGCATCTGAGTTTTTGTGTTCTCTGTGGAGCCGAAAGCAGCTGGAAGAGTTTATTAGTTAATTTGATCAAACTTTGAGTTTAATCTTTTTCTTTTTTTTGTACTATTTTCACATTTATCTGCTCAGTCAAACTTAAATTCAGTCACTTTCTGATTGTATTAACAGTTTCAGACATGCATATTCTTTAACTATTGAGCATCTTTAAGTTCTATTTTCTGCACATTTGCTGTGTTTGTTCAGACTTTAGTTCCTTCCTGGAGTTTACAGAACGTCACTGTTTGTTTTTCTGTGTTGGATCATTAAAGTGGTGATTTTTCCCTCATCTTACAGTTTCCTGCTGATTCTTCTTTGCTGGTATTTTTAAGCTCTGTTCAGCCTTTAATCACTGATTGTTTACACACGAGCTGAAAGACTTCCATTGAATAAAAAAACATTTAACCATGTTAGCTTTCTGTCTACAGCTCTGCAGCCAATAATCCTAAACTCCACTTTCAGGACCCACAATTGAAAGAAGGACTTGCGTAATTCGTGTCTCACGTTCTCTGGAGGTCCAGAAATGCAGAAAAAGCGCGTGACCTGTTCTCTGTGCACGCGGTCACCGGAGCAAAATACTTTCAGTTCCACGGAACGCATCGTTGCGCCACTATCGTTCAGATTTGAGAAAAGAACAAGAGCTTTAAAAGGAAGAAAAGCACGTAAGTAAAAGCGGAGTTATTAGATGATTCAGATTCAGAACCAGAACCAGACCCGGTAAATCTCTGGATGATAATACTTAAATTCTGTTTTCTGGATCTGAGCTGGAGTCTCGGTTCCTAAAAACCTGAGACAAATAAACTTTATGGACGTTTAAACAGGTTTTTTATCCGGGTGAACAGAAACTCGTTCAGTTTTTACTCGTTTTAACGGGATTTCGTGCTGATCTGAACAGTTTAAGGACTTTTGGGTAAAAGCAGAACCAGGTGGCATCGTGCCAGAGGATGTTTTGGCTTCTGAATAGAGGCTTAAAGTTATGGGGAACAAAATGTCTCTGCAGTGTTGCCCGCAGAGTTTCTGTTCCACAATGCAAATGAAAAAGCAGTAACAGAAATGCTTTTTCATTTTAACAATGAAGAAGAATTTTCGGACACTGTCTGTTGCAGATCAACAACTGGGTCACATTTGACTATTCTTTTTCAGGTTTTCCTCCAGAGTGACACGATGGGAGGTATATTTTCTGGTGAGTTGAGTCCAGCTCCAGACTGATTATGTAGGACTGTGTGGGGGTTTCTGGACCTTTGAGCTGGTTCTTGAAGTAGCAGCCTGCCATGAAGCTGATCTGCTGCTCACAGATTTGAACGTGTCTTTAACCTGATTTTAAAGTGCTTCACCTGTTTCCCATCCAATCAGGTCCACCTGTTCAGGGAGGAGGGTTTTATTGGTGCAAAGTGCTGAAACTTTCATTTGAAAGTCTAAAAGGTGTTTCTGTGCAGCTGCAGACATTAGAAACAGAAACTTTATCAGAGTTACAGAGTGTCTGCAGTCCACCTTAAACACAGAGAGTTTGATTAAACGTTGTTTCTAACATCAAATATTCACTCTGTTTCTTCTTTTCTCTCCTTCAGGTCGTACAGAAAGAGCCAGGCTTGGATCCAGTAAGTCTGAGTCTTTGCTTTGTTGATGAGGCTCCTTCATTTCTAGAAACTCTTTTAGGGACTAAAGAGGATCAAAGTGTACTTTGTCCCAAACTGAAGGAGTTTGTAGCAGAAACTCTCACAGCTCTCATTCAGATCTGCCCTCAGGGAGCAGCTCCCTGTTTCAGCCTCTGGCCCTTCACTGATGCAGCACAACCTGCAGAGTCAGCAGTTTTTCTGACTCCAGACGTTTTGCTGCTGATAACAAACTGGTTACAGCTTCACTCCTTCACTTCTCTCTTCTCTGATTTTCACATCCACCAGGAACCAGGTCTGGACGTCCACCATCTCCTGGTGAGTTCCAGAGAGTGAGGCAGCCTCCGTCCTACAGACTCTGGAACAAATCCTTCATTTCTCTCTTCTCTGATTTTCAGATCTATATGACATCATCTCTGCACCTCGGGGTGAGTTCCAGAGAGTGAGGCAGCCTCCGTCCGACAGACTCTAGAACAAATCCTTCATTTCTCTCTTGTCTCTTTTTCAGATCTATCTGACACCTTCTCTGTACTTCGGGGTGAGTTCCAGAGAGTTCCACAGCCTCCGTCCTGCAGAC